AGGAAAAGGACAACTGCTGAGTGTTACGCAGAGTGTTTTCCACGAAATCATCGGCTGACAAAAACGTCAGTCACCACTTCAATGAGCTAGATATATAACGATGCTAATCGGCTTGTAAATCGGAGGGCTATTTGTCCTATAAAATCGCCCATTGCGTTTTCAGCTGAAACTCGTAGTGAACTGATCAGTCACGTGATGCTGCTTACCTCAGATTGTTGCTACCACACCTCTGATCAGACGCGAGGATCGAGCTGAATGAAGTCACAGCGCCTGGATGTGATGAAGTGAGTAGTCATACGAATAACATAGCGCACTCAGCTCTGTCGTCACCGATCGAATCGCAGTGTTAGTGCAGGGAATGTGGTTGACGGAATCTCGGAAATACGCAGACTTGATGAGCCCCGAGAAAGGTAGTACAGGTAGTGGACTTCTGGACGGTTTTCAGCAACTTTATAAACGGGGTTATTACAAAACAACATGAAGTATATATATATTTGGCTGCCGGAATTACGACACTATTAGGAACCTAAGTTATCTGCCTATCTATCTAACTACTTATCAGCTTACCTGTCTAGCTACCTGTCTCCCTACCTCCCTACTTGACTGCCTACATACCTGCCCACCTGCCTACATGCCTACCTCTTTCCAACATCTGCTGAGCTTGGCAAGATGGCATAGAGACTCGTCACTAACCCACCCAAAGAGGCCATTCTTCAGCTTCCTAGAGAACAAAAGAAAAAGACGAAATGTCAGGCTTCAGGTGAAGCGTCAGGAGAAGCGTCATGGATACAGAAAACTGAGGAGATGGAAGGGGCAAAAACTGTGGAAATGTACGTAATAGATTTTAACTGATATAGGCAACTGACCAAGAGAATCACTGGCAAAAACGCTTAGCTTTCGGTGCCAGTTCAGCTGGACACTTCCAGTTACTCAGCCTGATTGCCGACCCGAAACGCAGCGCTGGACAGTGAAGCTGGAAACCGCGACTGTTTCGGAAATAAAAAAATGCGTTTCATTACTCCAAGGACGCATCAAGCTGCTGGTCAAAGATGGAGCTGAAATCCTCAGTTGGTGTTCATCAAACTTACTTGCCTCTGCCAAGGAGAAAGAGGTCGTCCCAAATAACGAGAGCAAATCGATAGCGGTGCTCGTTTTCAAAACGGGCTCTTGCAGTGAGCGTGGTGATCACAGAGGAATTAGATCGCCCCTAGTTGTAACAAGGCTTATTAAGCTGCTTATTTTACGCCGTCTCAGGAAGACGTGTGAAGAGGGGAATCGATAAAAGTAAGCAGGATTCCGTCCGGGAAGGGCCTATATGGAAAACATCTTGACGCTTTGTCAACTATGAGAACAAAGGCATGCTTACATATGCCCTACGATCTTGGTGTTCCTTGACTTGAATAGTGCGTTCAATTCTGTCGACCGGTTTGTTCCTTTTAACACGCTTGTACAACAGGATATGCCCAAGAAGTTTGTAAATATCATGCGCTGTTTGTGTGCAGAGGCCCGCCTGAGACATTGCGTGGGGAGCTCTTGAAAAGCTTCCTAAAGGCAGTTATGTCCTACAGGGTTGGCCGACAAGAAAGTACACCCTCCATTTTGTTTAGTTCTATTGTTGAAGGTCTTCAAAACCCCGACGTTCAGATTCCTCCTAGAGAGAACACTGTCCACCTGGAATATGTACGCGAAATCGTTCTCATTTCCGAAGAAGAGCATAAGCGCAAGCACTACTTGGAAAGCAAATCTGGTTCATTCAGTCCTTCGGCACTTGCCTCGCATCCACAGAGTGCAAATATATGCTACAGGACATGTCTCTGTAGGTTTAGTGAGGGACTTTGGGCGTTGGGGAATGCTATATGTATCTCGAAAGTCTCAGTAGCTCTGGTGATAGTGTGATAAGCGCAATGAATCTCAAACGTCAGCAGTGTGATTGTAAGTTCGCCCTTATTGTGTGATCAAGAAGGCATACCGTCTGACTGTGTAGCATTTGGAAGAGACTCAAGAGGATGATTCTGGCAAGCTCGTCTAATGTCCGGATCTACCAGTCTTTCAGTTGCCAAGCGATTCGTCCGCACCTTACGCGGCCCTGGAAAACGTAGGGAGAACCGACTCCGGGTGAGCGGTGGTCGGAATCCACAAATGTGTTCCAAAACGACCGGCAATCAGTTATTGAATCACGCCATCAGTAACTGATGGCAATGTGATCTATTTGAGTTTGTGGCTGGCGTGCCGTTGGAGGACACCAGGTGGCCAGACGACTTCGGCTACTTCGAAGGTTGGTCTTCATAAAAGAGCATGTGATCAGCACACAGCTGGAGGAATCATTCACCGTTGTCCTTACGTACCAAGTCCAATCCATGTCGACCTTCCACTTGAGTCTCACATACGCTAAGCCTACCCAGTTGTGCATTCAAATCTCCGGCAACCACCATGATATCTGAGATTTTAGCTCGTCGCAACAAGGCATTCAGGCCGTCGGAGCTACAGTCGATTGGGGCGTAAGCAGACATCGATCAAATTCACGCTATTAAAACTCCTTCACAGACGTTACCAGACGAACCTCACAGAGGTGACTATCAACAGGTATCCAGTCAAGCAAGGATACTTCCGCCCGGTGACTTATCACGGTACCAACCCCTGCACATCCCGCCACAGAAACCTCCGGATCACCAGAGGTGCGCAGCCGGAAGCGAATGGAGACTGGCGTAGCAGTTAGCTCAGTCACTGAGCTTGTATGTTGAATTCGTGTTCCTGGGACACAGCACACACCAATGCCAAGCGAGTCCAGTGTGAGAGCAAGAGCAGCTTGTTGTCCTGCTTTCTTCAGAGTGCGGACGCTGAAGGCAGCTAGACAGATTGGGTGTCGAGGTTTGAAGAGTGATTTGGAGATAACTGAGGATGTCGGCGCCGTGCGACTGGTAGATGTTGCGCGCGAAACCGATGTAAGACGAACGGAGTTATCAGTCCCCAGTGCGAAAGAGGAAGAAGGGAGGCGTCAGCAGTAGCTATTTTCGCTCACTCACCCTTCTCTGTGCAGCGATTAAGGTGACACGGCTGATGATACCACGTGACGGTTGATGTGGCATGAGTTTATTGTTAGATGTAGGTATCATGTTTGTACATGGGCTCGAATACTTTCAGGGTGTCCACACCTAGACAGGAAGACAGTTAGGGTCGTCAACCAAAGCCCTTGGCTCAAAAGCCTAACTACAAGGCAGTGATGATTGGCGGGAACTATAAATGCATTACGATTTCTACGGAACAAGTCACCACATGTTCTTAACCCAAACCTGGAGGACCAGGAGACTATGTTTGTCAGGCCTTTAACCATTGACCAACCCATAATGACAGACTCTGTGAGTGTCGCGGGGACTACCCCGGAATAGCTCAATAGGTCACTGAGTTGCGTACACCGGTATGTGCCACGACATATTCCAGTCTCTTCGTGACGGATGGTGTGGTCACTGTGAGGCGACTGGTTGTTGTGAAAAAGAGATCAAGGTCTTCTAGGCTATGAGGACCGTGGAAAAGTTAGGTAAGGAAACTTGCACACTGCGAGTGGCAGCATTGGCGGCTGTGTTTATGAGGGTGGGATATTTTGTGAGTACCATTCGGGTTGTGGTTTTCCTATGTCGACAGGTATTGATTCAAAATGAATTAAGAACGTTTGGGAGCCTCATAGAATTAAAATGCTGGTGTGTGTAGGCTATTCCATAAGGAATATCTAGATTCATTATTGAAGGCAGGTAGTATTGAAGGAGGCTGAGTATGTAGTATTAAGCATCAAGTTGAGTGTTGAGCGGGGTCAAGACCTTAGCCGTTTAAGCCTCAACTGGTTCAGTCGCGTCGTTTGCACTATGACACTGAGGAGTCGTATTTAATCACGCGTTCGGTATACTTGTTCAGGGGTACCGTCATTATCACAGACTCTGGATTGAAGAGGCAGTGGACGTGGCTAGAGGTTTTCATATGTGGCCAAATTAGGCTTTAGCTACTCGGTTTGGCCAAAATTAAGGTTATTGGATTAACGCAGACCCAGGTTTGGAATACTGCAGTGGGTAGACAGCTCCGAGTTGTCGGAATGAAAAGGTGAAGGAAAGTGTGTAACTGCGGTTGAAGTTGTCGCTTGACAATCCAATTCCGGCTTGTTAAACTTGAGTACTTAGTGCAGCTAGAACTATTTTTAGAGACTAGCACTGCGTGGTGCCTTGTGAATAAGATACACAGGATTTTTGGTGTCATTCACGAACACGCAAGCTTCTCTCGACGACATGCGCTTGAGTATATCCCTGATGTGTGTGATGAAAGCTCTTGTCCTGACGGAAGTATTTGTCTTCCCATTTGGAGTATATGTGGAAATATTCACTACTCATAAGTTACACGATATTTGTACCGAAGAAGGAGTGCCGAACACGGCCTGGAAAGCAGTAATTACTGCAACCTCTCGCGCAATCTTCCAATCACCTAATACATCGATTTTGGATCCTTCACACTGCTCCTAATGAAACCATCTAATCCAAGAAGCATCTCTTCCGGAACGTTTCCGCCTGGCATGGCCGACAGTCATATGTGATCTTCTAATTGAAGGCTGTAAAAACCGATGGTTGCTGTTTTTATTTGTGCATGCCTTGTTTTGTCGGCTAGACTTAGGCTAAATATATTGACTGCTATTGAGGACTTGGATTTAGCTCCACACTATTGGTGTTTACGCACATTCTGGTCCTCTCGATGGGCACCTCTTATTAAAATGGCTTCCTTTGGCCCATATACACATAACAAAGTCTCCGCATCTTCGAGGGTTCATCCCTTTTGGTTGGCCAGCTCGGCAAAACTCTTGTTCACTCTAAAACTGGTCTCTGATGACCTATTTTACTTGTCTTGCCTGTCAGAGAGCGATTCAATCCAACAACACTCCTTTACTTCGCACCACACCTTTTCCTTTATCCATAAATTGTGTTATTCATTGTCTAAGGTCAGGCAAAATTCAATGCTACTATCCCAAGTGATTACTACTGCAACCAAGCGGACGCCAACTGTATGTAATGTCATGCAACAGGGTGTAACCATCATTTCGTTGCTAAGCTACCGAAACTGGAGGCACCTGCCGCTATAATTCACTGAAAAATTCAAGTGTACAAACCCAGAGGGAACTTGATGTGACTCTCTTTGCATGCCAACATGACTATAATAGAGGTGTTGGACCCCGATGTCTATAATTTGCTTGATATTTTTGCAGTTGTTTGCTTTCTTTTGGAGTGGCACTTCCCTAGAGTATAAAGGCCCTACTAAGTTACTTTCGAATTCGTATTCCAAGCATCAACTCTGAGGATGCTTGGGTTGTTTCACAGTGTAGTATAGTTTGGTAATTTTTCAAGGCTGAAATCGATGAATTCCCCACGTCTCATCCGAGACTCGGGTTGCACGGCAAGGAATTGAAATATTTGGCACAGATATTTCCCAAGAACGGAAGAAACCCATGGCTTCGAAATTCAGGACGGTAATCAGAAACGATGGGTTTCGGCAAACCATGCCATGAAATCAGACACTGAATCCATTTATTTATCGTGACCAGAGAAGACTTCAGAATACTTACTCCAGAAGCACGCTGAAACCGGCATGTTCTTCTGCTTGGGCGTGTTTGCAATTTGACCTATAATATCATTCAAACTATTTGTCCATCGTCGTATTGGCTATTCATTGGACTTGACCGAGACACAAAGAGCTCTTATTCAAATGTTGGCCTACGTAGCAGTCACAAACAACAGTTTCCGCACTAAATTTCAATTTCGACTACCAATAGCGTTCACTTATTCATGCCTCAGACGGAAGATCTCGTGGTGCCGACATCGACCAGCTGATGTACAGAACATGCCTACTGGAGCATATGTTGTGACTGTTGCCCAACTAATGATAAATAATACAAAAACTGATGAGTGATGTACCCTTTATTACGCAAGTGCGCTTGTTCCCCCTGATTACTCGAATCGGTGGGTTAATTTCTAACTAGGAATGTTGGAACAAGCGATTGTTAGCCCTGGTGGCGTAAGCGAGGAGGGGGATATCTCGGCTCAGTCATTTGACACTAACTTATCAAACTATGCACGCCAGAATCTCATTTCGACAGTGATTCCGAATTAGCATACAATTATTTGTATTTCAGTCATTTGGTTGACCGACTCAGTGGAAAATTTGAGCCACTGTCAGTCGTTTCCCCTCCGCTCCTGCGGCGATAACGTAACTCCAAACACAACCGTCGTATCATAAATACAACAGTGCTGTATGTGACATCTTGGTACGCCATAAAAGGTTTCTGATAGGAGTGAAACAAGTGAGTGCAAGCGGTTTCGTTCCTTCGTCTCGTTAGTGGAATCCGTAAGGCTGTTATTGACAGTATCATTGATGCAGCTATCTGGTGGGTAAGGTCCAGCCTGGCAGAACAACCGTCGCAAGACACAGACACACACGTAAATGCTGCGGAATTTGGTGCTGATCAAGGTGTCTGTAACCGGTTGGGAAAATAAAGGTAACCTAGTTAGTTGGACGACGTAAATCATGTCACAGTGTTGCCCGTTTGACCAGTGCTGGTCACCAATACTGGCAAACTGACAGAGACGAACGAAAAAATACACATAGATAATACCAAAAACAGACACAGTTAAAATTCCACCATCTGTCCAGACCAGAACGGGAAATATTTCGACAACGCTATCAGCTAAATCTTCTTATGCGATTGTAAACAGCGGTTCTTTCTGGTATCCCTCTCAAAACGAAACATTCCCATCATCTTCTCATCCATGCTACGAGGTGACCACGGCATTACGCATTTTACACTTGTTACACGACGGTTTCTGGTACAGTACTTCCATTCACTTGAACAGTTTTTGAGGCGCGGACTGTCTTCCAACTGCGGGGCGGCACACTCCGGGACTTAGCCACATGGTTCCCCAAGCACTTCCCAAGATTACACACCACAGTGGAATTACACTTTGGTATTGACTGTGATTTATTGATTGGTTATCGGAATGTTTGTGTTATGGGCAAGAATGGTATGCAAATTTTCGTGAGCAACCACTGACTGGACTTAGCTCAACTAAATCTACAAGTTGTCCTCCGGATAAATCTACAGCAGCATTTTTTCGAATATTTTTTCACCGACTAAAATATAGTACACCTGAAGAATGGAATGAAACCAAGCACAATAACCCTACATTTATCAATTAATCATCATTGTTTTTACTATCATCCAGAAATACAAAAGCTTACTGGATTATCGTGATCAGCGGTTCTCAGTCAAGCTTGTCCGGTTGGAAAACCATTAGATTTTAATTACTAGGGCTGACAAACATTACAACAAGTCGCGCTCTTATGTGTGGATCGCACATATCCAGGGGCGTTGCATAGTCTTCATGTTCACTACGCACGAGGTGGAACGATGTATTCTAGACTCAGGAAAACTACTGAATAGTACTTGGATTCTGATGAAAGTTTAAAAACCTGATATAGGATACACGCTATTTCCCCACCCACCCCATTCAACTGCTCACTGATGATGTCTCCTCGAATGAGGACGAAACGTTTGCAAGCCAATTACCAAGCCCGGCGAATAGATCATCACCATGTGATCAACTACCAGATACACGCTATACTTCTCTCCAGTGGTCGGCGCCCAAGAAGGGAATATTTCGAAATCCACCCGAAAATGATTCCTGAAGGAAAGTGGACTGGTTGTCACGTATCTTTATCATTTGTAAAATGAAAAATAACTGTTCTCAAGTGCGTTTCGTCAAATCTAGCCATTTCACCCAAAATTTCACTCGTCTACCTGCCTGAATTGGAGTTTATCTAACAGGCGCGGTCCCCGATTCTCTATCAGTCTCATTATCTACCTGAACAACAAATTGTAAGCAGCTGATAAGATGTAAACATTTGCAAATTAAAGAGACTCAACTGAATCCCGAATGAATGTCTTCAACTGAATGTATTGCACGAAGATCACCTCATGTTCCATTCGTGAGATTGCTGAAAACTCTTCGACAATCCACTACCGATTTAGCCTATCCGATGGCACTCGACCAGGGTGAAAGCGGTCGTGGGCTGTCAAGCAATTTTCAATAACCCCATGAATGGTGCGTTCTGTCAGGTAGATATACTGCGATATCCAAACTATTGCTGTCACAGCCCTGGTGGTATAAGCAAGCTTTATTTTCCAACAACATGACCGCTAAACTGTCTCTAAAAACCAAAGAATAGCGGTGGAGTTATCACATAATCGAAGCTAACTACAGTTACTCATAAGAAAGCAATGTTTTTCTCCCGTGCTAGAGATAGTCGAATACTGCTCATCCTTCAATTTACTAAATCAGGACGCGGTCGAATTTTAGAGTTGGTAAGGTGAGCTGGATGAGAGTTACCAGTAAACATAGTGTAGCAGAAAGGGCACTTAGGGTCACCACCTCCGGCTTATTAGTCAATGATTAACCTGGGTCATTCAAAGGCCGATTTGAAGCTGTCTGCTAGGGCGATTGGGCTACTTGTCTTAAACACCGTTTTAGGCTTCTGTGACCGTGTTGCGATAGCTCCTTGCTGAGCAATTTTCTAATGGTTTCTGGGTCTCACTGCTTTAGGTGACTCGACCGGTGTGCACACAACGGATAGAACCCGTAGGGATTTTTTCACCAGAGTGACCGGTTGGGTTCACCAGCAAATAAAAATCTAAGTGGAGAAATGAATGCGATTGTCAAAACATGCATGCACATTCCATCCGAATGGAATCACACCTTCGAGACACTATATGTAATGGTTCTATGTATACTACTACCGGTGTGTGCGATAGCGACCGGCTCAGGAAGCAGTTTAGGGACAATGATGACGAATTCGTTTTCACAAATGAAATGAATCCTTGGCGTGAAAATTCAAAAGGTTTTATATCCACCGGCCGTTGATTGCATGGGTAGCTTGGAAGTAGCATGAGAAGTTGAGACAACCGCCGACAGCAACTCAAATAATAGTCTAAAATCCATTCTAAAATGACTCGAAAAGGTGAACAGCCTTTTAGTTGGGGAATTTTCCGACCCAGAAGGATCCCACCAACAGAAAATTTGAAAGGCCTGAATTTTTCTCTTTCGCAAAATGCTGGACTACCCAATTGGGCTTATTGCATGTACATTTGTTGACACACTGTATTACTCGATCAGATTTTCAGTCGGTATTCGACGTAGTTTGCACAACGTTTCACATGAGTATGATCTTCGATACAAAGGTTACGAAAGAATGCTCGTTTTGTAACGAAACACACGATGCAAATATTTGTGCGATCGATGCTCAGACGCTAAATCACTGCCCGTAGTGTCGAAAAAATACGGAGTTGTTTGAACTTCAAGTCAGGCTATAGCTTCTACAGATTCACACACACACACACACACACACTAGTAGGACCGAAATCTCGTCAGGTATGATCGCCGGGGACTTATTCTAGTGTTCCCCATCACAGAGAGATTAGAAGACAAGAGTAAGTCTTCGAGGAATTTTCTTGTTCTGCCGACTCCATATTTGGTAAGAAGACGTACGCCAATAATGTGTTTCCTTGTTCGAAATACGGTGGAACACTATTGCAAGAAGCTTCCTTGTTGCAATCAACATATAAATGTATGCCCCCATCGAGTACCGTTCAAGATAGATAGATAAGTATGCGCAACAAAGGTATTCATTAAAATGTATTTCTGTTAAGCATAACCCTTTAATTATCCTCTTGAAAAAAACTACCCACTGGTCACGTGGCATAGAAATTTTTTCAGGCTACCAAGGTGACAGTCACTTCTCGAGCTCTGGTGTGCATGATCTTTTGGCAAAAAACTGAAAGTTTATTGTATTAGACAGTTATCAGCCAGTGTGCCACCCAAGTTCACATTTGTTTCATAACCATGGATATGTGGGCAGGCTGGGTTTATGACTTTGCAGATCAAGACCTTTATCTCCGTGTCCTTTGGGGATTCGCAACTGGGTTACATTTACTGTGCAACCACTCAGCACCTCATGTGAAACCTCCACATCACTCTGACATTTCCTTCCAATCTGTAGTCGCAATATCGAAAACCAAAGAGCATCTGAATGTTATTTCCCCACAGCAAAAATTTCGGATTGGCTTCACATGGCCTTGGTTGTTTACAAAGATCTCAACACATCCTTATCGTCTACGGAATCTTCGACGGGGTATCAACAGTGGCCACGTTTTTGCCTACGCGTTCTTACCTAGCACAGCTGCTTTGTGCTGAGAATAGACTCACCCGCTTCAGCAAGTTTTGTTAACATTACAAATTCACCTAATGGAACACACTGCATATAAGGTTGCTTGGAACTCTCCGACAAGGGACGACTGGTTCCATCCGCCTTGAAGCTCATCAGATGGGTCCAGCCCCCTTGTATCCACCGACCTCATGTTCTACTTTCACCCACATTGTAGGAAATTCTCAGAAAACACCAATTTGCTTTTAATGGGAAACATAACTGAAGCTCGCATTTTCGTGGTCTTTTTTCCGCTGAATATGCTGCACAGGTCGCCTCGTCTTCCAATCAGTACGATAATTAAGATACCAAAGCTTATTTTCCTTGCAGAACAAACGATCGACGAGGTTCCTGAAAACCCTTGGATAGTCTACAGCCATTTTCACCCTCTTGAGGATCATCAGGTAGGCACAGTCCCCAAGTCCGTTAATCCCACCTTCTACTTGAACCCACACTGAAGGCAATTCATGAAATAGACTCATTTGCAGACTGATTTAAAAAAAATGATCATATACCCCAAACGATTATCCTAAGGTAGGCCACAGAGTACCTCCTCGTCATGCAACCCGAATGTACTTTGATATTGCTGACCATAATGCAGGCATTAGAACGGACAGTCGCTTTCGTAAAAGCAGCATCATCGCTGCAATGTGCATACCGATGAGAACCTGTACCTCGTTTGTTGTCTTTAACAACAACTTCAATATTCTTAATGAGACGCGTGCACATTCTCGTGACTCCATAAACAAGAGCGGATGACCGTAACAAGACCATTGTGGAAAGGCCTGCCGTATCTCGGTTGCGTTATAGCGAGTGTTATCCAGATCTTTTGCTGGCTGTACACAAGTATGGTATTCTCGGGGAGCACCCCGCCATTTGCCGTCTGTGTCAGTGTGAAATGTGATGAGAACAAGTAACACGATCGATGCGTCTGTGGATGCTGCAAAACGAAAAGGATGTAGTTAGTTCTGTAAATGGAATTTCAGACGCTCTTGTTGCGCCATCAGTCAACCAAGATGAGTAAGTTTTATCCGGGTCATAGTGACCCAGTACAGACAGTGACGTTGTATGAGCAACATGGCTTCACATCATAACGAAATGCGGAGAGAATGTGGATAAGCTGAGTTGACACGTAACTGTGGTTGTCACTGCACGTAGAATCATTAGCAAAACAGGGGAGGGGGGTGGAAACCCCAACCCGACCGAAGTTCACGGAATCCCTGTTCCTTACAAAACTATCGTAACACTCGCATCCACACAGACGGGCGAAAATTACAAACTACGTTGAAGAGGGATCATCACGTGAACCAAACCAGAAGAACCGGCCCCTGCTAGACCCGAATCCATTTAGGTTTCCACATCGGCCTAACACTTGGTCACCAGGGCTAATACAAAAGTTCCTCAGCCGACACCTAGGAGAGATTTAGCTTGACTTACCTGACCTCGACCAACCTCGTATCCTAGTCACTTGGCCTGAGGAAACTTTTGTGTCAAAGCGAAACGTTGTCCAGCAATAAATCTTCCGATTGTTGTCAGACCTTTCCGAAAACGATAACTACTCAATCGGTTCGAAGCGTTTATCATCTGACTGAACATACCACCAAGTTGTTTAGTTGTCAATTTGCGGACGACGTGACCTAGAGTACATTCTGCGTTCCGATTGGTTGAAATCGAGCGCATCAAAACACGCGGGAAATTCACTTTTGTGGGAACATTTCATCAGGATCTGTTTGGGTTGATCGAAATCGAGATTTCTACATATTTCTCCTCATCCATTTCAGTGCTTATATTGATACTGGTAACTGCGAAGCATTGAGCTTGATTCCCGGTAGTGGATTATCACACCAAAAGGGTACGACGTAGGCGCGCCCGGCTGATACGCTGTATAGAATTTTGAACGACTAATGGGTCCAAAGTGAATAGCCTGTGCGGTTCATCGCCTTCCGCTATTCCCTACTAGCTCATGCACATACTTTATAGGTCTACCCATTAAAAAGCAGGCATCCAGTTACAATATTTCCCCCAGCTGACACGTGATAGCAGCGTGCTGATAAAAAAAACTTAAGAAGATCCGTTTCGGCCATATATATATAT